TCGGACAGTGTAAGACATGACAAAATAATAATAATTTATAAATTATCAAGGGTTCATGAAGGAGGTAGGAGGGGGGAGCGGGGAGGGAGGGGGAAAATGAGGAGCTGATGCCAGGGGCTTAAATGGAGAGCAAATATTTTGAGAATGATGAGGGCAATGAATGTACAAATGTACTTTACACAATTGATGTGTATGTATGGATTGTGATGAGTTGTATGAGCCCCTAATAAAGTGGTAAAAATAAATAAATAAAGAAATAACAGTGCACATGTATAACCATTTATGTACAATTATTTAAATTGTAACATTATTTAGTCTTTCATAAAAATAAAAATTATCAAGTTAATTAGGTGTAAGATGGAATTATTCAGACATTAGAAACAAACAAACAAACAAACAAACACGCTCCATTGTATGTATGTACCACAGTTTTTTAATCCACTAATCAATTGATGGAAATTTGGGTTGTTTCCAACTCCTTGCAATTATGAACAGTGCTGCAATGAACATCGGAGTACAGATGTCTGGCCATGGTTTGTTTCTTACCTCTTCTGGGTATATGCCCAGTAGGGGGATTGCTGGATTATATGGTAACTTGATTTCCATCTGTTTTAGATATCGCCAGATCGATTTCCATAGTGGCTGTCCATACTTACAGGTCCACCAGCAGTGGATGAGAGTGCCTGTCTCCCCACAGCCCCTCCAACACTTGTTGCTTTCTGATTTTTTGAATTGGGCTATCTTTGAGGGTGTTAGGTGGTACATCATTGTTGTTTTAATTTGCATTTCTCTTACTGCTAAAGATCAGGAACATTTCCTCATATGTTTATTGGCCATTCGGATTTCTGCCCCTGTGAAATTTCTGTTCAGGTCCTTGGCCCACCTCCTCAGTTGGCAATTAGTTTTTTCTTTTTGGAAACTAGCAAAGTATTGTAGATTTTAGTAATAAGGTCTTTGTCTGATGTGTCATTGCTAAAGATGTTTTCCCAGTCAGTGAGCTCTCTTATTACTCTCGGTGAATTCTTTCAATGTACACAGGTGTTTTATCTTCAATATATCCCATTTGTCAATTTGTGCTGCCTCTGTGTTTGTGTCCTTCCCTATTTCCGATAGCCTTTGTATTCCCTGTGCCAAAGTTCTCAACTTGGTCCCAATTCCATCATTGATGGCCCTAATAGTTTGGGGTTTAACATCAAGGTCTGTGATCCACCTTGAGTTTATTCTTGTTCATGGAGTGAGGTAAGGGTCTTGCTTTATTTTTCTGCAGGTAGATATCCATTTTTTTCCAGCACCACTTATTAAAGAAGGCATCTGCTTCCCATTGGATATTTTTTGGGCCCTTATCAAAGATCAGTTTTTTGTATGCTGATGATTTTATTTCTGGGTTTTCAGTTCTTTTCCATTGGTCTGAGTATCTGTCATTGAACCAATACCAAGTGGTTTTGACAACTGTGGCTGCATAGTATGTGCTAAAGTCAGGTAAAGCAAGCCCTCCCACTGTGTCCTTCTTCTTGAGGAGTTCTCTGCTAATTCTGGGCTTCTTCCCTCTC